TCTGCTGAACGCGGCCAATGATTCCCGGTTCTCTCCGAGTAATCCGACGCACCGCCAGATGGCGACGCGCTTGCTCCAGTTTTTTACTTCCGTCCGCCGCCGCGTTCGGCGCAGCCGAGCCAGGCGCCTCGTCGTCCGGGCGGCGCGTTTCTCTCCTCGCGTGCGTGTACGCGGGAGGCTCGCGCGTTACATGAGGGAAATTCAAAACAAAGGCACGTAAGCTCCGCCACCGAGAGAAACCGGATTGTCGCATCCGCGCGCGGGCGAGGGTCGTCGAGAGCCGGTGGCGATTGAGATCGCGAGATCGACTGTCGAGTCTTCTCTCGGTCTCGCCGGAATCGCGAGGAAGCGGCCGGCGTTCGGCCACAACCTCTGCGTACGGACGGCGAACAAGGGAATGAAGCGGATAAACGAGGCGCGTATGCGTGCGTTGCGATGAGAACGGACGACGTCAACCATGGATCTTTCGATAGCTGACAACGTCGAGGACGAGTCCGACGAACTGTTCTCAGGTGACAACCGCGTGTCCCCCCGAATTACGGGCGGCGATGGCATTCTGGCTTCGTTCTTACACGCGTGCATTTTTAGATGACGAACAAAAAAGGGAGACTGGCTCCAACGTCCTCCAGGATGTCTCGGTCTCGAGTCGCTGCGAAATACCCTCGTCGCTGCTTGATAGTCCCAATACGATGTAAGACACATTTCCATCTTGTTACTCTGAAGTCTTGTCGTTGTCTAAAGCCGTATCTACAATGTGCTCTCCGCGTCTGGAAACATTCCATCTTGTAGTCAATAAATACGTTTAAAAAATCGGTGCACATTGATTAATTGTAAGCTGTACATTGCATAATCATAGATTGTCGACAAACTTCTCGAGCGTTTCGATTTGTATAGAATGGAATGTTTCTAGATGCAGAAGGCACACTGTAGATAAGGTTTCATAGTGAATTCGGTTGCTTCAACTTCTCGTTGGCGGGCACTCAGCCCTTCCTCAAGGCTGACACGGCTAATGGCGCAGAGTATGACAAATGCTTGTGCTTCAGAATATCATTATGCAAAATATAAAAGTGTATGGCAAAGTATGAGAGAGAGAGAGAGAGAGAGTCTCTCCAGTGGTGAACTCTCAAAAGATTGTACGACTCAATCTTCCTTGTGGATGGTTGCTTGAATTAGTGCGCACTCTCTGAATACACGCCAAGACTTGTTTAGTCTTGCCAGTCAATTCTTCCGTTTAACTTTGTCTTAAGTACACGTTGAAAAAGTATTTAGCCAAAAAATGATCCGTACGAGTGCCGTACAGGTCATTTTACTGGCTAAGAATATTTCAAGAGATATTTAAGACAATCCTTAAATATAAGAATTGACTGTAAACAAGTCTTAGTATGCACTCGGTGCAAGCAGCCGAATTCACTATAATATAGCGATGCAAGAGCGAATTTGTCGCTAGCAAGTAAAGCCGCTAAATTATATTGTCTGCCGCATTCGATATACGAGTTCTAATCCCTAAATTATTGGTCACTTGTATAATTGTTAATAACAGAATATCAACCGACGCTGTAATTCCGTCTACGCCGTTGAGTCTGTTGCCCTTTTTGAGTAAAAAGAACGAGCAGTGGACTAGCGACTTGGAGACACCAGCACAGGCTCGCACAATGCCAATGGCCAGCTCAGCAGGAACAGTAATGCATCTTTTTTATAAGCATCTTTATTACTTCATGGTAGTCCACCGAGTCGAGTTAACACAACGTCCCGTGTGTCATTAATATTTCAGACAGAAGAAACACCTAAACTTGAAGAGCGTACGCCTGATCTTTCAGCTGTTAGAAGCGAAGACGTAACTATCTCTGGTTCCCCAGTTATTGCCTTTAGAGCGACAAAGAGACGCTCCAAGCGTCGCATATTCAGATCTTCCTTATCTATAGACCCGTCGGCTGTGACTAGCAATGAAGATGTTACTGCAAACGCACAAGTAGAAGCACCGGTTATTTCTGATACTAATTCCGTAACCGTGCCAAAAATTGGATTCCAAACTGCTCGCGGTAAAGCCATCGATATCTCCGAGCAAGCTTTAGCCAAGGCCAGAGCGTTGTTTGCGCAGGATTTGGACGACACTTTGATAAACGACGCTACGAATGCCAATCCGTCTCTTGAGAGTGCTCTTATAGATTGCAAGCCGAAAGGTCTCAATAGAAATCAGAACACACGTAATGATGAGTCAGAACTTCTTATGAACACAGTACCTGATAGTTTAAACATTTCCACGCAGGAGTTCTTTAGCAATGCCTCGTTCAGCAAAATAGACGAGTTAAGCTTTAACACTTTTAATAATCGAAAAACAACGGAGGCTACTGCCACGCGATGTAACAATGAACAGATTGTCGAGGATATCGGCGAAGAAAGGAACGTTGAGGAAAATAAAAGTATAGGTTTCTTTACCGCTCGTGGTGCTCCAATTAAAGTCTCTGAGCAAGCGTTATTTAAAGCGAAGAGACTGTTCGCAGATGCCTTCGATGCGGACGAGGTGCAGAGTTATGAATCATTCACTAAAAGAAATTCCAGCGAAGAGAAAAACAGACCTCTGCCATCCTCTTCGTTTGTTGATAACGTTTCTGTCAACATTGCGAAAGGAGCCTCAGCCAAACCGAAACCACTTACAGAACAGTTGAAAAAGTGCGACAAAGTTTGCACTACAGATTGTACAAAGCCACTTGTAAATAAAAGTTCTGGTGAAGAAGTCAATAAAGTTCCTATTTTATTTTCAACTGCTAGTGGCAATCCCATTAACATCTCGAAAGAAGCGCTGTCAAAAGCGAAAGCATTATTAGCCGATGAATTGGACAACGCTGATGACGATACATTAATGAAATATTACGAGGGATTGTACGCAGATAGAAACCCTATGACAGTAAGAAACACGACTCTACCGTCTTCCACAAGTAACAGTAACTCCATCAGTATCTCAAAAAAGTCACCGCCAATAGCAAGAATGTTGTTCGCGAAGCAAGATACTCCCGTTGAATTCACTTGCAAAAATAAAGCCGATATTTCTGATAACGAACAGAGTAATATAAATACTTCGAACATTAGATTCCATGCTGCTTGTGACGCGCCTGTTAATTCTAGAGCAAGAGCGTTGTTTGCCGGACAATCGGATGATTCGTTAGAACCGATCGTCGCAAGAGAAATTTATAACGATGATAATGAAACGAAAAGACAGGAAACAAAAGTTCCACAAATTGGATTCCAAACTGCTCGTGGTAAAGCCATCAACGTCTCGGAGCAGGCTTTAGCCAAGGCGAAAGCACTGTTTGCAGACCATTTGGACGATACGTTCAGAGCATTCGTTGCAGAGGGAACCAATGACGATAAAGTGAAGGGATTAGAAGTGAAAACATCAAATGTTGGATTTCAATCTACTAGTAGCACCAGAGGTTCTGAAGAGAGCCCGAAAGCAAAAATATCGTTCAAACGATTGGATAATGAACCGGAATCGTACACCGCGAAAGCTACTAGAATCGACGATAAGGTGGAAAATAGACAAGAGGTAAAAATTTCAAGTATCGGGTTTCAAACAGCTCGCGGAACATCTATCAATATTTCAGAACGAGCGTTATCCAGAGCGAGAGCGCTATTTGCGGATGAATTAGATTGTCCTTTAGAAATGGACATTCTCGAGAACATCGGGGACTGTCGCGATGACGGTCGAAAGGTAAAAAAACGCGACTTAATAATACCGCACGACGGACTGCAAACTGCAAGCGGCCAACGGATACCGGTTTCGAACAATGCAGCATTAATAGCACGAGAATTATTCTCCACTGACTACCTGGATGAAAGTAATTCTGACTTGGGGCGCGCATCGTTGCAAAAGCGCAAACTAAGCGAGACTAATGTAGACGAGAGCACACCCCAGGGCAGGAATCGCGCGTCCGAAACGAAAAAGGCACGTCTTAGCGGGGAATTTCAAGCTAGAAGATTGTTTCCCGGTAGTCCGAGCGTTGACATGGCTAACGACGAGAACCAAGATTCGAACGTGAAAATGCAAGCACCTTCCGTCGCGGTTTTCGCCCTGGGTTCGCCTCAGAGGAATACGGTAGAGCCAATCGAATCGGATACGATGGGCAGTCCTGTTTTAGGGAGGCAGCCTATCTTGAGAAAACGAAAGAGTTTTGATCGTCAAAGGGACGAATGTAGCGCACAAGCAGATATAAAGATACTAAATACGGAGAATCTAAAAGTGCAGGAGAACGTTGTGCAAGGAAGCGCAGCTGACGAAAAAATAGAGGACGATAAATTAACGAAGACGCCAACACCAGCGCGAGTCGAGAAGGAAACCGCGAAGGGCAGTAATACGGAATCGAGCGACTACGGCGACACTCAGATGATGATGGACTTTCTCGACCACTCGACGAAGATCCTGCAGGAGCGCGTGGCAGCCGCGTTGGAGCAGGAAGCGATAATCGTCGCGAAAAAGAGACACGGGTCGAAGCAATCGGCGGGCCACCTGTACCGTTTCAAGCAAGTCAACTCTAACGCTCGTCTGTCGTTGAGGAGGATCAGCGGTGGCGCGCCGCCCGAGCCGCGTTCCCACCAGGAGCTCGTCGCACGACGGATATCGCCGAGGATCCTGGAGCTCACCGCCGCGACCGCCGCGACGTACAGATTCCGTTGCTCCGACTTTTACGGGGACGACGTGGCGTGCAATAACGTGCACGGGATCGCGATGGAGGACGGCGCGCGTGTGATCCTGGACGAGAACGGATACGCGGGGCTCCGCGAGCTCCTCCGCGCGTTCCTCGCCAGCCCCAGCGTAGACCCGAATCTCGTTCCCGCACGCTGGGTCGAGAATCATTACCGGTGGGTCGTGTGGAAATTGGCGTCGATGGACCGAATGAAGTTTGGCTCGGCCGAGTTATCCAGGTATACTTAATATAACGGAACTAGCACGCGGATCGTCTCTAGATTAAGTCGCGCGGTATAATTTTACGAAACTAGTTTGCCACGGTTTCAAAGCCAGGCGTAGGTGCCTCGACTTCTAAAGGAATCGTTGAATAATTATTTTACGCGATTAATTAGAGAATTATTTTACACACTTTTCTTACATCTTAGGGCATTAACACCTTCGCATGTAATGGCGCAATTAAAGTATCGGTACGATCGAGAGATCGATCGGTCCCAGCGACCGGCAATAAGACGCATTTTGGAGAAGGACGACGTCGCGTCTAAGAGAATGATTCTCTGCGTGTCAACTATAGTAGAAGTAATGAAGTTTCGATCGTACTGAATTTTCGTGGCAAATCGTAGCATGTGCCTCACGCATTTTAATTTGCAGAATAATAACGAAAGTGTGGAGATAGGGAAGAGTCCGCGCGTAGGAGAGTCCAGGTGGAAGATAGAATTAACCGATGGCTGGTACAGTATAAATGCCTGTATCGATTTAGGTGCGGTGAGGAATATATCGATCGGCAAAATAAAAGAGGGCACGAAATTAGTGGTATCCGGCGCGGAATTGCTGAATTGCGATCAAGGTTTCCACCCACTCGAGGTAGGCGCTCGATTTTTATCGGGATCGGAAGCGAAAGCCAGTTCAGCTGATTGATTTCCCATTTCGTCCAGGCACCGGCCGACGTGTGCTTAAAATTGCACACGAATTCAACCAGGCGCGCACGATGGGACACGAAATTGGGATACGCGCCGCGTTCGGGGCCGATACCCATCAAGTTACGTAACGTGTGTCCGAGCGGCGGTTTAATCAGCAAAATGACAATCGTCATCGCTAGAGTGTATCCGATGTTATATCACGAGAAAACCGCATCCGGGGACTCGAGTAAGATACGTTTAAATCTAATCTCGCGGCATCATGGGAGGCGAGTTAGGCCCGGCTTCACCAAACGTCGCCTAACTTTAATCTTGGCTCACTTCACGTTTGTCTCTTTCTAAAGGAACACTTGGGAAGAGGCAAAGAACGAATTAAGCCGAGCTTAAAGTTAAACAACGTTGGTGAAACCGGGCCCTCGCGATCTAATTCTTACCTTTATTTCCCGCGATAGTTGTCAGAAACGCCAAGAGCGAGGAGAAAGCGCAAAGCAAATACGAGCAGCAGTATCAGACCAAGGTAGAGGCGTTCTACGCTCAAGCGGAGGAGCTTCAGGGAGAGGGACTTTCTTGCGAAATTAATGATATGGCGATACAGCTGAACGAAGATTATGAAAATTTGCGTACAGAGGTATACACGACTCAGTCTATCCGATTTGCGAAAATTCCTTTCGGTACGTCAACGTTATTCATTCGCCGTTATAAATAGGAATTCTCTAAAGAGCGGCATAACAAATTGCTGAAAGAGTTACGTGAAAAGGGGGAGCGGTTCAAGCAGAGGATGCAGTCAAAATTGCGCGAAAGCCTGCCGGGACCGCGGCAGGTTTCTCAGCTGCTCAAGGTTCGCGTGTGCGACGAAAATGCGAACGCCATTCTTTCAGTTTGGTCGCCCAGCGAGGAGGTAGTCGACGCGCTCAAAGAAGGCGCGTGTGTTGCGCTCTGCAACATCGTGGCTTCCGGAAAGAGGTAGTGTTCTCATAAAAAGGAGTAACTGTATCGCCGCGCGGATGTAATAGCGCATAATGCCCGATTTTACGAGGATAATTGTTTAACAGGGGCACCGAATTGCAACTCACCGCACGCCGGTCTGCAATTTTTAAACCAGGAAAGATGCGCGACACGTCCTATCCCGCTAGAGCGTGCATGTCTCTGTGCGAAATAGCAAATTCCGAATTTGTCCCACCTTACGGAGAGTTTGATACGGTCGGTCTTGTCTGTTCGGTCGGTCCTGCCCCTTACGTAAGTGTTAAATTTACCAAGGTCTTTTTGTTTTAATTGAAGAAATAAGTCGCGAAATACAAGAATCATGGAGAATAAAAGGGCTACGGATAATATATCATTTAGAAAAGATCGAGCGATAGAGATCTTTCGGAACTTTCTGAATTTTACCCTCACCTTGTATACCTAAAGTTTCTCCGATTTAATGTTCCATATGGAAACGTATCGTAGGGCATGAAAGACTTCGAGGCCGTACACTTGGCACATTGTAAAGCGAATTCAAGCGACTCCTCGTATCTCTCGATATTGTTTTGGCAAGGAATAGCCAGTTACGGCTACACGGAGATTCTCACTGTCGGATCTATCGTAGCTTGCAGCAATTTAGAATGGCGAAGGGCAACTTCGTGGAACGTCCCAGCGGCGTATTGCACGGAAAGAAGCACTTTTACGCGCAATCCTCGCCGAAATCATTTACACGAATCGTTCGAAAATCTGCGAAACCTAATCACGGTACGTTATCTTTTTCCATCACATATTTTACGTAATTTCAACGTAACTATTTTTTACAGTTTTAAGTATAACTTTTATAAATAGACAAGTTTTAATATCTTAATAGAGAGAATTTTGAGTTTATTTTTATTATAATTTCTCAACCGGTGTTTTTATTATAATTTCCTACTTTAAATGTATTAAATATGATTTTTTAAGGATCCAATTAAATACGTCGAGAGATGTGCTTTTGAGCTTAACGTGGAATTGCAAAAGAAGTCGACGCCTACGCGCTACATAGCAGGTAAAAATACTCCGATTAAGATATACAGTTCGACGTCAAGCGCCGCCCAAAAATTGGCCGATTGTATGTCGCCGCTGGCGACATTGGGAACGGGCGACAGATCGAATTCTATCGCGTCCAATCCCTCGATTCAGAAACGACTTGAGAAACTCCAACATTACGGCGAGGCGCCCGAGCTATCTCCTATCATACTAAAAAACTCCAAGAGGATTTCTTTGGATTTTCAATCGCCCATTCGCACTCTGGGTGTAGACTCGACGAAGAAGTCGATTTAAACTCGTCCGCCACGGCGGAACAACATTGATAATTATTTTACGTTGTTGATTTCATTTTACAGTCTCATTCTAATTAGAAGTGCCTTAAAATAGTGTAAATTTGTTAATAATTACTAAATGTTCATTAATAAACTGTTTCTATAATTATAGTAATAAAGTAGTTTTATTACGCCTGTATTTTTTTCTACTTCCGACCCTGATCCAATTAATCTTTAGTCCTACAACCTCAAACAATCCTGCATCGTCTGAATCAGCGATTAAAATGTTAAATGAAAAGAAAATTAAGTCGCTTGAATTAAACGTTGATGTCACGGGCATAAAATAATTCACTCAAATGTATTTGCTACGGATTTTAATTTTCAGCATTAAACTAAATATCCAGATTATTAAGACAACTATCTGATGCGTTTCGTTCATTAATACACTTTTATTTTAATTACGCCGATATTGCTGATACAACACAATTTTTTTTCCGTGCAGAAATGTCGGATTGTAATTAACATCGAATTGATATGTTGTCAAGTTATATTTTTGCAAGAAATTGTAAAGTTCACGGTGATAATCTCTAAACTATTCTTTTAAAGAGAAAGCCGTTTGTAAATCCCCGGACATACACGAGTCCAGGTGTCAGTCCAGCTGTTATCCCTCCGCAGCTGGTCGTTTTCACTACACCTACATTTTTCCAAGTTTGTTGGTGAATTTGGAAATTCAGAATATTCTTCCGGAGCGATTCGCAAAAGGCTTATTATTTAACGCGAGCAGAATGGAGCAAGAAACGAGAGAGACCTTAGCGATTTTAAACTATGTAACAAGAAATTCCTCCCTGGCTCTTTCGCATATACAATTTGCAATGCTCTCGCCCATTTTTCCACTCGCATCAATTGTGTGTGTGTGTGTGTGTGTGTGTCTCGTGCCAAGTTAACAAATGCACGAGAGAGAAGACAGCGGTTTTTCTCGCTTGTTGCGAACAATAGCCGGCGTAGCGAGCGGGGACCCTCACGGACCGTCATGCGATCGAATCGCATGCGCTCGCGGCAGACAGAGAGGCAGGAGAAACTAGAAAAGGACTGCGCGTGGACTTTGGCGCTCAGTTCAACACGCGCCGGCGTACCGTGCGTCTCGTTTGCGATTTTTCCCCGGCTGCTCGACCGCCTCCGGTGGATGGATTTAGGAGCCACGCGACCGACACGCTGGGCGCCAGGGAGGATCCCGGTCGCGTTGTGTTCTGTTTTCCCTCCCGAGAGAGACCCGTGCGCGGCGGCGATGATCCGCGTCGCGGATGTCCGCGCGTAGAGCCGGGCGCTCCGCGGCTCGCAGCCTCTGTCGGCGCGACCCACGCGACCGTAGGTCTCCTCCTTGCTCGCGTCTCAGCAGCGGGCCGCGATGACGGCCGAGACCCCGAAGGTGGAGTTCGCCCTCGGCAGCGAGGTCTCGCCCGGTCGCTTCTTCAAGAGCGCGTTCGCGCGAAATTTCATCGGCAGCGGCCGTGACTGCAAGTCCCTGGATTACGAGCTGCTCGACAACGTGGGGAGCGAGGAGGAGCGCAACGCGAACGGCAACAACAATGCGCGGTGCAACAACAATTTCTTCTCGCTCGTGAACTTCGCGAACGGCGGCGGCGGCGGCGACGCCGCTCTCTGGGAGCAACCGAAGCCGAAGGAGGTGAATGCCTTTTGTACTGTTTTGCAGTCTTTTCTTTCACGACGCGCGATTCTCTCTTAATATCGCGGTAACGGTAACTACGCACGTGAAATATCATCCACTCCGGAGATGATGTTGTGGTATCCTGTTATATATACGGGGGGGACACAAGAAACGTCCTGTCGATAAAGATTCTGGAGCGTACAAAAATTATTTCGCGCCGTGGAATGCGCTAGGCCGCTCCGCATTGCACAGGTGAACGCACAAGAATTATATTCCCCTTTCTCGCGCTCTCGTCCAATTTAGAATCGCTCTTTTTCAAAATGAGCTCAACGCGCGTTTCAGGCACAGCCTTTCAATCGTTTAGTCCGAAGGTCGGGCTTCTGCAGTTTGGTCAAATTGAAAAAGTCTCTCGGGCTTTCGACAAGTTCGCTCCCAATTGACTCCGGAAGCCACAAGTCGTAAACCTCATACATTCCCCGCGGATCCAGTTCTTCATTATAAGGTTGTGAAACTGTACTCCTGGTTCCGGAATCGGCGAGCTTAATAGCGCGCTTGAATTACGACGCGAGTAGAGCGATAGTAGCGGCGTTACTCGAGCGCGTGCGTTCCTACTTTACGACTAATTACGAAATTCGCGGCAAAGCGCATTGAAATCTCCGGAGCGGGCGCGCGCGCCTCTCTCAGTTTTGCAACCCGATTTAAATACAATAAATGGGATTTCTGCCGGACAAACGGCGACCGCGTGTCAGCCGCATTGCGCCGGACCGATGAAATGTCGAAAGACGCAACGGATGTCGCGGGCGAGGACCACGGATTGAGATTAGATTGAAAATTGACCAGTCGCAGCAAGGTTTACTAATCTCGAGTTTCGTAAACTTTACTGCGACTGGTCAGAACTTTAATCTAATCCCAATCTCAACCCGTAGTCCGATACGGGCGTTTACTCTCGTTGAAGACGCACGTTTAATGCGTTACATATTGCGGCGGCCGTCAAATAATGTGATACTTTCTATTCTTGACAGGCGGCACAGCCGGCCGCGGATGCGAATGAATTGGAGAAACTTCGAAAGGTGAGTTTATTTATGCCTCGCCGGCTTTATTACTGCACGTTCATCCCCGGCGCATCTCACCGCGCCAGGCGGACGTACGAGCGCGTACCCCTTTATCTCATTCAACGCGTCGTCAACGTAACGCGGCTTATTTAGGATCCTGAAAGGGTGCCACTTTACTGTTTCGAAACGACTCAGGATCGCGGCGCGAGTGCCGGAATGCCGTGGAGATACTTTGTTTCGCACAATGGAGTCTGGAGCGCGCTCTCGGTTTCGCAACCGAATCGATTATTTCGGAAAACTTTACGCCGATCCTTGGGACGCCGACGGCTGAAAGTTTTGTTTTTAAGCTGCTGTCGACAGTGGTTTAAAAAATAAAAAAATTCAGCCTCCGGTGAACGTTCAGGCGGGGAGGAATGAGTAGAATTTTTTTCAGACAGCGAACATTAAAACGGAGAGGAAGGAGAAGAATGGTTTTCCGCTATTCTTCGGTCCACGGAGGGTCGGAAATTCGCGACTTCGAGGAACGAGTTTCCGCTGCAGTTTCTGAGCGACTTTAAACTCGCGTTGTTCCGAGAATCTCCGCTCTCTTCCCTCGGCGACGCGGTAGAAAAGGGCCAGGTGCTCTTTGACCATGGCGCACTTCGCGAGCCGGCGGAGAGTTCTTTCATGTACGAACGGCGCGATTATTTATTCCGAAAGTAACAGACCACGTTTCCGCTCGTCTTTATTTCGTTGTTAAGCGTTCCCCGATTTGCCGTCGCGGGCGGATGGTGACTAATCGTTCGAAACAACGCGTCCCATAACACACTGGAATCCCGCAATATACTTTTTCATGGCTATTTCCTACTGTTCCCTGCCGTCGCCCCGCACGCACGTTATTGCACCGGAGCGAGCGGACCTCGTGAGAAGAATGTTGGAATAATCGCAACGACCCGAGCACCATTCGGTCACCGAATATTCACACAGTGAGTGGACCATCTATTCCGGGCCCGCTGTGAGCTCCAAGTATCTAGCAACTACTGTAGCGTGGCACGAAATTCCGACCAATAAAATAGAGGAAAGTCCTCTGTTGCGAGACAGTAAGTTTTCAACGTCCCAATTCAACGATCCCACCAACAATTTTCCGCCAAACGGATTTCGCTCCGAGGGCAATAAATTCATGATGGAACCAACGGATCGTGCCTAGTAATTTTGCAGAAACTCCGCTGTCTCATATTAGGAGTCTGTCTCACAACAGGCCACTTTCCTCCACAAGTCAATAGATTACACTCGTCATTAGTCTCGTGATTTTGTTACCTTTAAATAGCACAGCTCTGTCATCGATAATCGCAGCGACTCGCTCGAGACCTAGACCGTCCTAGACCATTGAGATTCTCAAATTAATCTGTAAGGGCCGCTTTCGCAAACGTCGGTTAACTGCTGACCAGAGTTTGACTCTCTGTCTTTTTCTATCTCAAGAAGAAACAGAGAATCAATTAATCTTCGGTTAACTGTTAACTAGGGTTCAGTCGACTCCCTATCTTTCTCCATCTTATGTGTAATATATTTAAGAAGTATATTTAAGAAGAGACAGAGAATCAATTAACCTTCGGTTAGCAGTTAACCGATGTTTGTGAAACTGGCCCTTAGACCCAGTTTCACCAAACGTCGCTTAACTTTATCTTAGTTTAATTCACGTTTGTCTCTTTCTAGAGTAACAGCTGGAAAGAGAACGAATTGAGCTTAAAGTTAAGCGACGTCGGTGAAACCGGGCCTTATTCCTGAAATATTTAATCGCTAGTTCGCGAGCAACGAACGACAAAAATAATACAAGTACCCACTGTCTCGAGAGATCGAGCGATCGACTGTCACCCGAGAGAAACTTTGTTATTTTATTTAAACGAGCGAATTATATTGGGGCCCCGAGCCGTCCGAAATTGTGGGCTAAGCACGTGTCGCCTTAATTTTCCGCCCGCGAAAGCCTGCGCTTTAAATAACGCGGGAAGCGTCCAAGCGTCCGCGCCGTTCCTGAAATATCCGTAGGTGGTTTCGCTCCCGACAGCCGTTCGCCGCAGATCGAGTATATGTCGAGCGGAAGTCCGCTTCAGCCCCTCCCGTAATTATTATCAGTCGGAGGGACCGAACCGCGCGTAGGCCTTTGTGGGACCTATCCGAATGCTCCGCGCGTGTGTTCGTGTACGCCACGTTTGTCCGACCGCGCCAGTGACCGGCGCGGGTACGGCGCGTGATGTCACCATCCTGTTTTTTTCCCCGATCCCACACCGTAGCTGGCGACGAGAAAAATTATCATCCCCCTCTTTGCGCAACAACCCGCCGCTAGAGACCCCGTAATCGGAGACTGGCCACAAGAGTCCGTCAAGTTCCCGCGAGTGGGAGAGAAACGTAGGCTCTCTCACACCTCTACGATCGTAGAATCTCTCACTCGCGGGAATTTGACGAACTCTTACGGCCAGTCTCTGATTGCAGGGTATCTACCTGCCGCGTGTGAAACGAAAGTGTCGCGGCGATCCCTCCTCTGTTTGCGCGAGATAAACCGCGGTCCTATCGCGCGGCACGCAGCACCAGGGAGCGAGATAAAGCTGACTTCTTAGAAAGCGCGAGGATCCATCGCGCAATATAAAATCGCGATTATAACACCTCGTCGCAGACGACTGGGGTTCAACCCCTTGCGCCGCGCGTATCCTCAAATCTTTTATCGCCGCGGGCGATTAAGCGGTCGCATGTCTAGGGACGAGTTATTTGCCTACGCTCGTGAGGTGCGTTTAAGGACACTTGGTTGTTGCCTCCATTTGCACACCTGCGTAATGCATACATCATGGCGCGACACGCACCCGTGATTCCCTTCCTGATCCTTGCCAACGGTTTCACGAGTCACGCGGATAAGATCGGCCAAGAAAGGTTCGTAAGGGCCGGAAGGGCCCTTCCTGTCGATTGCGAAATCGCGCGTCGCGGTAACCGGTTTGTAACAAAGGATAACGACGCAACTCTTTTGTAAAAAAAAAAGAAAAAGAAACCCCGAAGGCGCTTCTTTTCACGAATTCACTTTTACCGTGAAATCCGAAACTCATCGCGATCGTTTTCTCCTCTTGCAGTTTTCCATTGACGCTCGAGAGGCAAATTGCAATTCTTTCTTCGGCTCGTCTGTCGCTCGAGTGAAAGAGGGCACGGAATTTCTGACGCAGGTCGGCGGTAATTAGCGAGCGCGAGGCCGATTAATTAGCCGGGTAAATTGGAGCCGCGGCGGCGACGAAACGAATCCCGTTGCTCGCGTGGGAATTAATCGCGCGACTTCTCGTCTTTTGCCCCGAAACGTTGCTGTCTGCCCCCAACGCACACGGCCGCTGATAAAAGGCGAACCTGCACGCGCGCTCTCTCGCCTCGTTGGCAATTCCCAGGCAACCGTGAACCCTCGTACGACTCCTTTGATCAATTTCTTTCCCTCAATATCCGTCCCGATGGTCGTCGGCTGCATCGCGCCGCGATTATAAAAGAGAACACTTCTTTTTATAGCCTCCCGCTCTTCCGTGTTCGCACGTTATGCGATACGTCTTTGCGGCGTTGTGTAATATCGTTAAATCGAGCTTGGCGTTTAACTTTCCCTGTATGTTATTTTCTTCGCAAATGTAAAAAGCCACGTATTGCTCCATTTGCGAGCTCTCTAGCTATTGCAATAATATAACACGAATTACCCGAGGTAGATGAAACTCGATCCATTCGTAAGCCACCCATTGTTAGGATCCATTGTTAGGCAAAACGAATGCAAGGGAAAAAAATATATAATGAATTGGTTATATTCTTTTCAAGCTGAAACTATTTAAGCCGCGCCGAAGGTTAACGATTTAACGTCCATTTGCACATATTCGTGACAGATATCCATACAGTTTGGGCTCAGTAATTTTCAAGTTGGCTCAAGTGTACGATTACGAATTGGCAATAATTGATACAACTTCAGATGAAGAACAAGCAAACGAGATTGAACGAATACGGAGCTGTGCCGGACGTGCGTGAACACGTCCATTAAAAACAAGAAAACAATGTTTATTATAAAATTTCAACCTCAGCTGGCCACATTTGTCAGCGGAGTGGCCAGCTGAGGTCGATTGAAATTTGAAATTTTATTATTATTAATACTGGCAATCTGAAGAAACTCACTTGTTGAACATTTATTCTCACCGATACCGATGGAAATTCACGGAACTGAACGGACCCGTCACGGATATGTGCAGATGAACCTTTAGGGAGATGCAAACGCTGTGTCGCTAAAATAAAAGCTAGTGAAATGCGTAAAGTAAGCTAAACACAGCATGACAATTCTGTGACGGGGAAGTAGCACAATTAGTCTCCTTTTGCTCGAGTTCTAATGGCGCCGCCTATTTTTACATAGCTCCGCTCGGAGAAGGAACGGAGCTACGCGGTTTCGAAGAAACTTCTAAACGATATCCGTTTAACTCGCGCTGCCCGGAGATATACGATGTTTACGAGGCGAAGTGGCTTCGTGCGGGGCGCGAAGTTCGTAAGAAAGGAAGAGATTAATCTGTCGGACAGACCGAGGTGTTATTTCATTTATAGCGTCAAACTCGCTTCTCGCGCCACGTTCCAGGAACGAAGAGGAAGCTAATGGAACGCGATCGTCACGTGACGAAACATTGACAAGCGATCGAGCACGAGTGTGAAGACGCGAAGCGGAAATATAGCGGAGCTACACTGAGGGGGAAAAAAGTCTTGAATCGAGAAGTATTTCTTGATGTACTACTCTATTTGTGGTGGTACAGATTTGCGGCATTACTGGCCATTACTAGGCATTGCTACACGGAGAGAATTTTCTCTTAAAAGCGTGAGAGCAAGGTCGGCCCCATTTTTTTCGCATTCGATTTTGGTCACAAAGTAGGTACCGAACGAAAGGTCTCGTCGAGCTGATCGCAGATATGTCAGTCTCAGAGTGTACCTGTTGAACGTTCCGGAGATATCGGGCTCCAAAAATTCCCAGGACGTAGGCGATGAAGCCGTCTGGACAGACA